GCAAACATACAGGAATCCTCACTTCCCCTGAATTCCTCTTACTTTAACGCATGTTTATATATATAGTACTATAGTATTTCTTCACTTCTTAATGACATATAACATTATTTTTCAAAGTTTTAAACAAACTTGTGAAAGGAAATTTGTTACACAATTTGCTGCTTGGAGGACACTGCTAGCTTCCAAAGCCACAGCAGGCTAAAAAGCCCCAGGCATCTAAAACTCCTCTGTCTTCTGACGGCATAAAAAAATAGTCAAAAGCACAAGCTCTTCCTCTTTCTTTCATTTTAACTGCTGGGGGAAATTTTCCAAGTCCGCTTGGAATAATAACTACTAACTGCCCAAGAAACTGGGAGCCTCTAATAGTCCTCACTGGGTTAAGACTATTTATGAAGTGAATACAACTACTCAGCTACAGAGAATGACTCTTGAAACTACCTTCTGAAAAACTTCTAGCACTTCATGACTACTCAGGAAAAATAATACGTAACTAGTCGCTTAAGTAAAAGGAGAATGGGATCTCTATTACTTGTCATTGAGCTGTGCTCCATGACTTGTTCTAACGCTTCTTCATTAGTCTTAAATCCTTTCTTTTTGCATTGCCAACTGAAATTTTGAACATTTTGAAATATTGTTTTTTGGTTATGAATAGATAAGAATATTTTCTCGTGTGGGTCACTGTGAATTCAACTGTTCTCTGAAAGAAAATTCACTAGATTTCCAGGTAATTTCTGTAACATCTTCTCCCCTACCTTGCATATTGGAACTGACAAAAAGAAGCCTCTCCAACAGGTAGGTGCCCTAAAAGATATTTTCTTCCTCTTACAAGGACAAAGTCTTTTAAAATGGCCTTACTGTTTCTCAAGCTATTTGCTTCAAAGCACTGATCTGTTGTAGTAATATGGCAGCAACACTACTCTACATTCCATTAAGGAGAGTGAAAAAAATTGCTCAAAAATTCATCATTCCATAAAAACAAAAGAGAAGAAAATAGAAAGCTCTGCAATAACTGAAAGGAACAATGTGGAACTTCGCTTTCAGACTGCCTGAGGCTGAAAGGAAGGCTAGGTATTACAGATAAAATATACAATATATAGAAATAAATTAGCAGGTAAAAATTATAACAAGCCACGGAAACAAAGAACGTAGCAGCTGATGGTAAGAAAGTACCAGAGTACTGCTAGTAAAGAAACCAAACCGCAAATCTGTATTTTGCCAGCCATAGATGAGTGTATGGGGGAAGATAACAGACTCTAGCTTAACATAGCAAAATTATGGGTCACTATGAGATGGATTTAAAATTGGATGCATATACAAACAAATGAAGAATTTGTCCCAGTTCACTTGAAGACTTTGTAAGACAAGTCACACAGTGCTTCCTACATATTTCTTCGTTACGACCTGCCTAAGGACTTGATAAATAGTTTACTGGAAAAGATAAGCTAAAATGGAAATACTATCTTTATTAAGCATTTATTTCTCGTGAGGAGGAAAAGTGCCTTAAATAGTATAATTTTATTTACTAGAAAGAGACTATGTGGACAGAAGTAATTTTTTTTTTTTAAAATTACCGATCAATTATGCTATATTGAAAAGTGGAATTTTGTGAAATGCAGAAAATGATAAATGAAAAAAAATCACCGTCAGTTTTTTTCTTTTTTTTTTTCCTATGAAATGTGATTTTAGGACTTCCCAGCTGACTTCTGGGAAGGGCAGGAGGTGTGCCAGCTAGCCAGCTCACCAGCACGTCCGCAGTCGGCAGCTGCTAGGGAGCCTTGCTGGGCCTCGGAATTACAACAGCAGTCTTGAAATTGCACTTCATGAACATGTCACTGGAAATCCATATTAATGCCACCACGTGTCCTAAACAGCCCTATTTCTGGAGCGTTCTAATTTACTACAGCATGAGCGTTTCCAAGTCAGAAAAACAGTCCTAGAAGGGCTACTCAGGAATAAAAATCTACAGTGTTTTGTAAATATACAGTATTTTCCAGTCCCCAAGTAATACAACTTGTCTGTTGTGCATCTGCTATATATCTTACACTTTGCATTTTTAGCTGTCACGCGTTTCCTCAATAAAGGTTTTCTTTTACAGAAGTGTACACTCAGAAAAAAAGCAGAGCTATAACAATCATGTCACTGGTCCTACTGTTTACCATTATCTTCAAGGTTTTAGGGTTGATTTACATTGCGTTCCTCCCTATTTGACTTTAATTGTCTGCTTCAAGTTGTCAGGACATAACTATATCTTAGATTTGCATTGCATTAGGGGATCTTTTCCTTTCTCTATTGATCTTGTCTTATGGAGTAATTTAACTCAATTCTAATTTTCTTTTGCATGCGGGGTGCTCTCTATCCAAGGAAGTGAGTTATGTGTATTCAAGTGGTGCATCTTATGAATCTTGTTAAGCTTTACCGCCTTATAGCCCGCACTGATGGAATATTTAATCACAGAAATGAGTTGGCAGATATGATGTACAATACGGTTAAGGCTTGCGGCGTGTGTCTCCACCGGCAATTGAGAAATGGGTGAATTTGCCATTCATCAGTGCCATCCTGACAGCTTTGTATAACCTTCTGTTTTTTTACTTATTTATGAAGATTAAAGGTACTTTAAATCAACAGTTTCTCTGCAAATGTATCATCTTTATTTCAGAAGTGGCCAAATTTTTCATCATTTATTAGGAGGCAGAGGAACTTCTTGCACTGACTATGAAAGAGTTGGTACAATTTTAACATGACGGTATTGGAGACAATAATTAAAGCAAAGAACTAGAACTTTGACTCTCAAAAAATCACGTTTCTAATTTTATAATCTTCAAAAGTGCGATTACTTCTTCTCCAAGTAAGGTGGCAGAACCCCAAAAGAAAGCTATGTTGCAGTATTCTATTACAGCATGCAAAAACTGCATTGCTCTTTTACTGTTTCATTTTCTAACGACTTTAAGAGATCTGCACAGAGCTCTTGCTTTGTTTTTAAATAAATTACTTTGAAGAGAGTGTAAATGCCTGAGAAAAAATTACCTTTTAGTCAATACAGAAAATATGCATTTGATACGCATTTTAAAAAAACCCCAAGACTGCCTGCACGTATAAACAGAAAAAAAAACCCCTGAAATACATGAAGTATCTTGATATAACTTTTTGCTTAGGTGTGGTGGAGTGCATGTCATAATTTATAAAATTAAATTAATACTCTTCTAATGGTAATTAAAGATTGTCATTAGAAGGGCAAACACCTCCCTTGTGTTGGCAATAAAAATGCACTCGGGACTTTAGGAGGTTATACAAAAAAATCAATAACCTGCCATTTTATAATTAAAAGACAAAATAAATGTTAGGGAAAAGTCCAGTAAATTAGGAAAATTACCTTCAGGAGAGATTGAAAATATTGATTTTAATTTACAAACTATGTGAACTCTTCATGCCCTACTTCATGAGACAATTATAAGTCAGATTGTTAATTCTGCATACGTATTAGAAAATTGATTACTGTACTATGGGAATATTATTATATTTGTCATTAACACAAAGTCATTTATATAAAATGACTAATAACTCTTACTTTCTAATTTATGCAGGTTCAGGGTTGGTTCACTAACTACCCAAAGGAGATCAATGTTAAATTCTGCTGTCAATGTAGGAATACATCAAGGAAGGAAATAAATTCTGCCTACACTAAATATTGCAATTCCATGAATGCCAAGTTAGTATTTTTATTGTACTGTGCCACTTCTACCCTGACTGGAACATTTTCATCTATCTTAGTAGATGGCACGGGATGTATTACAGGCAGCTTTTTTTTTTTTAAATAAATATCTGTTTGTAACCTTAGTCCTATCTAACATTTTTTGTCTCTCGAAGTCCCTTGAACTAATGAAAATTTTTTGGCTTTATCTACTGGGGACTTGAATATCTCCATAAATGGAGATTCCCCAGCTTCTGTGGGCAACCTCTTCCCATGCTTAACCACCATCTGTGAAAAATGCTTTCCTAATACCTGTTCTTTACTTGCTTTAAAGAATGTGTTCTACAAGTACCTCTTTATCCTTCATTACCTAAGTGTGTGACAATGGATAAATATTTTGTATTTGTATTCAGTATATACACACCCAGAGAACTGAAAAACAGATCCAAATGGAAAATGCAAAAATTCCCAGTTTCCCACGAAAGTCACGGAAGACTCATGTATGGTTTTGGAACCTAAAAAAGGTAGGCAACTTTATTACCTATTAGAAGCATTTGGATGCGCGGTGATTATTTCTTAGATGTAAATAATTAGCTTTCCAAAAAACAAGGCTTTTTTGGACTTGCTAGCTATTATGTTTATGGGCAGGATTCAAATTCCTCTGAAAACAACTGGGTTTTGGAGTACAACCATGTTTGTTTTCAATACTGTTGCTAAAGTACCTTTAGAAACTGTTGCTAGCCATGACTGACTGCCAGTAGAAAAAGGCTGTATCACATTAACTCCAAGTTGTAACCAGGACCAGAATTTGGTCTCAGTGAAGTCTCAAGTGATAATATAGACTTAAAATATACAAATTTTAATTTAATTCAAGAAAAAAACTGTAACACAGATACTCAATACCTATGTGGGTTTATGTACATGTATACACACAAAATATATATTTATAGATAGATTTTGCTGTTGTTGTTGCTCACTACACTTTAATTCCTGGAGGAAAGTGACTGTACTGAAATAGAAAATAAAATAAAATATAAATAAAACAAAATCTCAGGTAAGACTGGGATACTGCAGTACATTTCATGTTGTACTATCTACTTCCCAATAAAAAGATGGTCATATATCGTCTATATAAACTTTAGTACGCCCAGGTAACTTAAAATCCTGCATCACAAATCTGTAAATGACTTGCAGATAACGTGAATCAAACAAAGAAACCAAACCTCACACCAAATGCATATTCTGTACTTTTGTATGTTTTAAAGAATACTAAAATAAAATATGGCATGGACAACTATAGCATAATCCTTACCTGCATAGAATTCTGGACTATAAACTGCACCAACAACTGGATTTAATTTCCAGCCTGCAGCAAACATAAAAACATAATGGAGTTAATATTGTGATTAGTGATAATACTGATTTTTTAATTTTATTTTTGTATAAGATATACAGATAAAATGGCTTCAAAAAAGGTCATTTGAATGAAAGTTTAATAGGCATCTTAGATTACTGATCTTTACTATCAGACTCTGAAGTATGGAAATAAGTAACGAAACGAGGCATTCTCTGGACATGTAGTGCTGGAGTAAATGATCAGGTGAATTACCCCGACTGCAATGCACAGTTGCCATGGTCTTATCCCCTTAAATTACAGAATTAAGTCAGAACCAGTTCAGGTATCTCTATATCATGTAGCACCAGAGTAGATCCGTTCTTTCTCATTGCTTTAACTCTCTGGTTACAAGCCAGAAAGGCCAAACCAATTCATTTGCTGGATATAAACATTTCTGATAAGCATGTGTTAGTGTAGGTTACAAGGCAATCAAATAATCTGAGGCTTTTGATTCTACTCTGGGAAAAATGAAAGCGTAGACACTGTCTGGACATGTCTATTGTGACACGAAAGAGATTTGCGCACTGTGGGATCCCAGTCAAATGCCAGACTATTTTCCATTTTCATTTGCACAGACTGTCTGCACTGAAACGGGACAATTACAGGCAGGTACCAGAAGTGACTGTACCACCTGCACTTACAGCTGATAAATGCTGTCAGCTTATTGCTATAAAGTAGCTGGCACGTAAGAAAACGCCTCAGTCACTTTCTGCAAAGCTCTGAACTGGTACACATTCAGCCACTGCCTTTGTCTTAAAGAATCACTGTCCTGCCACAGCTGGCATGAAACCAAAGCACAGAACCAAGAGATGTGTATTGTGTGTTCTGGCCAAACTCCAGCTAATCGCTGTTGTGCCCTTACACCCGATGGTTGCCCAGAGAGGTTGTTGAGGCCCCATCCCCATCCCTGGAGGTGTTCAAGGCCAGGCTGGACGTGGCCTTGGGCAACCTGGGCTAGTGGGAGGTGTCCCTGCCCATGGCAGGGGGGTTGGAACTAGATGACCTTCAAGGTCCTTTCCAACCTAAACCGTTCTATGATTCTATGATGCGGCATTTCCAGTTAAGCCCGGAGTGCACAGGCTCGCTGCAGAAGCAGGGACTGTGTTTAAAGCATATGTGATGCTAGAGAGAGCAATGCTGAAGGAACTGTAGGCGAAAGAGTAACAGAACAGCTGGAAAAAACAATGGCAAACTCCTTAGTGTTCTCAGCCACGGTGAAGTGGCAATTATTGTCTTTTGTTCAGCCACAGGTAGATCCACACTCCCAGTTAACTCCAAACTCCACAGAACATCCCCCCACCCACACTTTTTTTTTTTTTAAAGTGTTTGAACAATTATTTGAACTACCGGGACTGAAAAATTAGGGGTTTTCCAAAAGCACACTTGAAGCAGAGGAGTGGGAAGCACCATTTGTAAACGGGAATAAAGAAAAAAAAACTGAGCAAAAGCATCTCAAACTCAAGAACTACGGTACTAAATAGATCCTGTAACTATGCTGCTGGAAACAAAACACAATCACAAGACAGGGACAATACGGCTTTTCAAAATCAGAAGAGCCAAGGTTAGAAGAATTTAAACGCAAACTGTATTGAGGCTTGTTTCTGCCTTGGCCATATCATGCAATGCAAAAGGAGAGTAGAAGGTCATAAACCCATAATGCATAAGAAGACTGAAAAGGTGTAATACAAAATCTCAATAATAACACAAAAGAAAACTATTCCCTCCCTTTAAAAATACTCCTATTTCTATCTGATGCACAGTACCTATTTACCAGTAATCAACTGTTCGGTAACAGAGGTGAGGAGTGTTTTTGAAATGCAACTCCTTCCTAAGTTCAAACAGAGTAAAGAGCAGCATTGCATGCAATTGCTCTGCCAAAGTAATTGCGGCTCCTATATGTACCTAAAAGACAACTATGGAAGCTGAAAGATGGCCAACCAAGAGGGGTTAAAATTACTTTACTCCTGAAAATAACATAGGACTTTTACCTGACCTTTCAATTTTATATACTACAGGTTTATACTCAGGAATGTCATGGTATAACAAATACTCTTCGCCAAATTTTGTGTGATGGAAAATCATCCAGATTTTGAGACTTTCAGTAAAAATGTAACTTTTTAGAGCTTAGGGAATATTTAATATTTCAAATTCATTACTTCCTCAAAAGACCACTGATCAACGCCATCCAAAATGAAAGACTGGACTGAATTTCAGATCTGTCAGCTTTTGCTGTCAAAGAAACTGATAGTGTAACTTAGAAGCTGAGAGCGCCACAACTTGTCGATGAGAAAGAAACAATCCTGGAAGACGCAGCCTGCTCTTCACAGCTGAAAGCCACGCTCATCTTTCAGTTCCTTACCCCTCTCACAGTGATGGCTGTCTCATCTAACTTTTTGGAGCTTATACAGGAAATACTTAATTCATCGTGAAAATAACAGTAATTAAACTTAACTTTATCTTGTCAGCTAGCCATGTGCTGGCCCATAGCTGTGTGGGTTAATCAAGTGTGATAGGAGTTGATGTATCCAAGCGAGCATCTGCCAAGTAACCCTACTTTAGCAGCTGGAGGAGGCACATTCTCTGCAGTGGGTGTAATTTTGTGCATTTTTCTAACTGTCACAATACTAATCTCCACCTCAAGTTGAAACTATAAAAGCTCAAAACTTGAAAACCAAACAAGGAAACAAACAACCCCTCTGCCTGCCCCAAACCCCCACCCCGTGCAGTCATCAAAAAAACACCACAGGTTAAGCATGCTGAAGGGAAGGAAATAATCATACTGCACAGTGTAACAAGCTTTGGTAGAAAGCGGGGCACAGCGATGCAGAGGATTATTTTCACTTCATAGGCCAGACAGGCACCCATGGCTGGAGGAATGCTCTGGCGGGAAAGAAGCCCTGGGACACTGTTTGCTTTCCTCCTGTTTGCAAACAGAGGGGAGGGAAAGGGGAATGGGAGGGAATTTAATAGTCAGAATAGTCACTCGCTGGGAATTTGAATCTCAAGATTAGATCAACAGAAGGCTCAAATTCAAAACACTACAAGTATAAACTTTAAAACATATGTATCCCTCCACTGATTGCTGTTTCGTGTTCCTCATCCATTGCTGTGGTTCTCTGAATCTACTCGTGCATGATTCTCTGTTCCCCACAACACTGGATGAGCACCCTGAATTGCAATACGGGTATCAGAAGAAAGTACGTAACTGTGAACAGGATCGGTTGGAACACCTGAAAATGTCTCCAAGATATTTTTGCCAACAAGTTGGAACTCCTGACAATGAATTGATTTGCAAAGAAAAGATAGTTCTATCTCCAAAGCACATAAGGTCAGCCGTCAAAATCACCCTGTCTGGTAACAAGCTTGCTCAGAAAGAGCTCTCCTAGCAACTGAGCATTTATTAACTGCTTGTTTCAGGAATCATCCAAAATCACTGGAAAGCATACTTATTTCAAAAACCATCTAGGACACAAAAGTAAACCACTTACTTGAATGAAGCTGCATATATTTTAAAAAAAACGTCTAGGTTTTTGTGTTTTAAGATATACTGACTTTTGCAACCATATTTACAACACGAGCCCTGTTATCAAACAACCAGCAGTATTCAGGAATGAAAGACAAAACTGAGTGTATCTCATTTATAAATTACACTAAATATTACTGCCTGATGTTTTCATATAATACAACAGGTGCCCCAACTACATTTTGAATACCTGCCAATAACACGTCAGTCACCACATACCCCTTGAAAATAAAGCCACGCATTAAAAAAGGAGTTGTTTTGAAGATAGGCATGTGCAAACAAAAAGCTTCCGGCTATCTGCGTCAGAAGCATCTTGCAAATGTTAACATGCTTGTAGAAGAACACAGAAAAACTAGCTTTATATGTTATTTGAAAGAAGAGACCTTTACTTTAGGCAACAATAATCCTCAAGGATCAGCTAAAGCACTGGTTAATTCCTGACAAGATGATAAAGAAATAGAATCATACAATGTCAGGAAGACTGATAATAGAAGCACCGATTAAACTAAACAAAGCACCTTGCACACCTACACTTTATTTCTTGTCACTTGTAATAATTATGCAAGAACAACATGATTCTCCTTATGTGTTTACTTTAGGTGATCTCAGACATTAAAAAAAAAAAAAGTTACAAGAATCAAAATGTGTGAACTACAATCAGAGTCTGCCTTGGTGGATACCCATCAAAAGGTGTGCAAAAGAACATCCTGCATGCAACACCTTGGATGTATGGATTCACGAACATGAATTTTAATTTTTATGCATTAAACAGGATGTTTCGTACTTTTGGTGAGATCCAGATGGAACAGGATGGAAAAACGACAGACACAAAACACAAAGTGGGAAACACTTAACAGCAGATTGTCATCATTCTGGTTTTGGATATTAATAAACGATAATGTATGACCTAAGTAACCCTTCAGTGCAGGACACAGAGATGAACCTCTTCTAAAACCAAATTCCTAAAAATCTCACATCTCTATTTCCAGCATTCCCTTCCTTCAGCACTAGATGTGCTGATATGTAACGTGTTATTCGCTAATTAACAGTTTTGTAGCCTTAGGATAATATGAATAGAAAATATGTATCATCATTTATAACCCCCCCCCTACTTTTATCCTTTTATTATTACAATATAACAGACAAAGTTCACAGTATCACATGCATATAGTTAATTTAGCTCCTTATTGCAACAAAATTTTTTTACGTGATCCAGTCAAACTTCATGTCTCGTTCATTAGATTCACTGAGATGTTTTAAAGCCAGTAAAAATTGAGATTTTCCCATCTGCATCATTTGCCAAGTTCCACATTTACATACAATACAAGGAAGAAAACAGTTTCTGAGAAAGCAGGAGGAATTTCAGATTCTTCTTCTCCAGATTATTTTAAGTAGCTCAATTCTCACACGCCAAATGAAAACCATCACTTAATTTTATTTTTACCGTGGTAGGAAAAAAATTATGACTCTTCCATTAAAAAATAAAGCCACTGTTTGCCCTGGGCTTTAGTAAAACCTCACTAATGAGACCTCAGATATAGAAAATCAGATTCATTATATTTCAAAATGGAAAAGAGTCTAATCTACCTATGGAAACCTTTACTGATGTCTGTGCAGATTTCATCTGCTTTCTACTGGATGGGAAAAACTAAATTAAATTGAAAAGCAAATAATTATAACTACACAGTCTAGTTAAAACTGAAAAATGTAATTGCAATTAACTTCAATCAATGTATTACTGTTTGATGTTGTAGAGTAAGGAACTTGTTAGAATTTTCTGACCTAGGAAAGGCAAACAACTCAAGCACATGATCAAACACTGCCAAAGGAAACATTTTTAAAATGTATTGCTTCCAAAACCCTTAAATATCTATGGATTTTTTTTCTACCATTAAGGTACAACATTATACCAACTTTGGTCAGTATTAGAATGAATTTTTTTAGATAGCTTGAAATTTAGAATTTTTCCAGGGAAAAAAAGCTGGAAGCAGCATTCAGTTACAGTTTGCCCTTTACTTCTAACAAACTGTAGATGGAAGACACAGAAAATTATCTTTGACTAGATGCATGTCTCGGTACTGAAAATTATCTCATGCTTGCCTGAGACATTCTCTTTGCTGGTCTCCCTACCTCCATTGTCCAAGCAAAACTGAATCCTCCGATTAGTTCATTCATCGCAACACTAACACTGCACAAAGCTAGAAGAGAACAACACTCCTATCAGGTGTATTTTCCTATACAAAAGCCACTGTGGTTAAACACCCAGATTCCAACCCGGCAAAATGATGCATGCTAGGCCCACATGGCTGTGAATTAGCTGAACTCTACACAGACGGAATTTATGCCCAGTCATATCACGTTTTAGGTCACTGGACAAAACCTGAGCCGAAGGAGATGCAGGAGATGCAGACTATGGCACTTCGTCCACCCGATCAGCAGGAGTGAGGTTTCACATGCACTGACATTAAAACAAAGCACTGAGATCTCATGCACTTACCATTCGTGTAAGGGTTGACGGTCTTTTTATTTGTCATTACACGTGCTGTTGCATTATTTACCTAAGCACATAGAACACTGGATTAGAAAGGGTTACAGGAAGGGTTCATGTTACTATTAAATGCATGCATTATTACTGCTATTAGTCATGTAAAAATAAAATGCAATTTAATTTATAGAAGGCAACAGGTGCATAACAAAATCATACTATTTATAATTACATTTACTTTCATAACCATTTTAACTTACAAATCATTTCAATAAAGCAACATCATATCATTTAAACTTTAATAAAAAGACATTAAAAGCAAATTAAAAGGTACTGCATAATTTTAGACTTAAGAGCATGCTTGTATTCCATGATAACACTGATACAATAAATACTCAAAACAGAAAAAAAGATTATATGAAGGAACATGCAGTGGAGAAAAAGGGAAAGAAAAAAAAAAAAGGGACAAACGATTTTAGCCGTGTGCAACATAACCCTTTAGAAGAGAAGTACCATTGGAAAAGCAACATCTAGCATTCAACACTTGGAACAAGAGCCTTTTTCATTGCAAGAATTAACAAAATCATTCAAGCTTTAAGATCACAGCTAACAAAAGGATAAAAAGAGGGTGCATTATTTAACACAATATGGAGTTAACAATCTGAGTAAGATGTGCACGAAGTCATATCCTCAATCCAATCAGTGCCTCCCAGGCTTGCTTAAAACGTACACTCAATTACAGGCGTACCAATATAGAAAAAAATGTAGCATCAAGAAAACTTAATACAACAAGTCAAAAAAATTCACGTGGTATATCAGCGCTAAATACGTGAAACGGCAGATGGACTTCTCCACTTACCATTCAGCACCATCGCCAGCATGGGTATGTATACAGTTACCATGGTTACTGAGAGTTTGGTGAGGGCCCTAAGCGCTACCGTCGAAGGGGGAAAATGAAAAGGCAAAATATGCAACATCTTACTCAAAAGACGACAGCATTTTCAATTGGTATTTTTTTTATTCTAACAAATACGACTGAGGCAGTATTGAAGGGGATCCAGTGGTACTAAAGCTCATTTGTGTTGGTTTTTTACTGGACATGAATGGCTCAGGCCATCCAGCCAAGGTAGCCTGACGGTTTCATTAAAAATTAGATGTTAAGATTGGTCGGTGTCTACTCTGGCTTTGTTTCTTTTTCTGATACATCTTTTGGATGCTTCTTTCCCAATCTGAATTTTTTGAAAGCCACTGTGGATCCCACATCAACCCTGCAGCAAAAAAAAAAAAAAAAACAAACAAAAAAATAAACCAAAATAAAAAAACAACTTTTTGTTTGTTTTTGTTTTGTTTGTCACACTTTTTTTTCCTGTTGTTCTCAATTTTTTTTTAATTTTTTTGTTGGCTGGTTTTTGGAATCTACTGCACCCATTGATTTACAAAACATCCAAAATGATAAATTCAAAAGATTAAAGCTTTCATTTTTTTTTCAATTCTGTCATCCACCTTTCAGCAATAATGATAATAATAATAATAATTACAAAAGAAATAATAATAAAAAACCCAAGTAAGGCCAATTCTCTCTCTTTATATATAAATATATATATAAACAATGGGAAGGGGAAAGGGGAGCACACAGAAGACACCAATGATGCATCTGAAACAACAAATGAGAGTGAAGCAGACATTTATAAAAAAGATGAAAAGGAAAATATTTTGAACATGCACCTCGATTTTACGGCCCTCTACCACGGTGCCGTGTAATTTCTCCCTCGCCCTGTCCGCATCAGCACTATTTTCGAAAGTTACGAAACCAAATCCCTGCATGCAGGAGGGAGAAGGGGGGAAAACAACATGCACATTATTATTTCAGTCAATGACCACTTGTTTGCTTATGTTCTCTCTCTTTAATTTAATATTTTCTTGTCCTTGCTTCATTTCTGTAACATGCAAATTAGAAAAATTATAATTGTATTGAGATGTGCAATAAATAAGCGACAAATGTGAACAAATTTTTTCTGTCATCAGTTAGATAATACCCTCTGAGAAATTCAAAGAATGATACCAAAAATACCTTTCTACATGTCACTACAGAGGAAAATAAATCTAACAATAAGAAAATGAAATTAAAATAAATTACAGTGTCTCCACATAGAAAAAAATGAACTAATGAGAAAAGAAAATGAACCACGTTCTAATGACATGCAGATATCTCAATGAAATAAAAAACATGTGCACGAAATTCAACACTGAATGTCAATATACTCTAAAACATTGCCTACTTTATCATGCTGTTGTGATCATAAGAAACATTGTTCCCATGCAACACTAGGGTAACTCAAACTTTTGTCAAACTATACAGCCTTTACTTATTTTTTTATAAAAGAAAAAAAGAAAAGAAAACCACCAACAAAACAAAAGTACCTTTAGAACAAAGTATAAACTTTCTTGTTTTAACAGATCAAATAAAATCATATGATGTGAATAGAAAAAGAAACTCTGATAAAGGAATAAAAATGCAAACGTTTTGAATAAATTTAACTGGTTCATTTACTATTTATGTATATTACTTTCCACATATACAACATGCAACTGGTAAAACTCCAGAATCCCGTGTTAGTGGGACAGGAGAATACTCGGCAAATATGAAATTCTGCCTATGGCAAATGTTTTGCTTTATAATGCTATGTTAAACATTTCCAATCCTACTAAAATTCCTTTTATTATGCTAAGTTAAATTAAACACTGTTTACAATGGTAAATATCAGACATCGAAAAAACCTTTTAGAAACAGACACCAACCCTTTGAAGTAATTCATTAGCACTGCAAAGCCTTTACGTGCTTTCCCAAAGTCATCCAAACAAATAAATTTCTACATACTCGGTGTTTTGTAACAAGAAACATTAGCAAGTTACACACAGCCGCTTTATAAAGAATAGGCATTGCTGCACATTCGACATCCTACTACAACCTTTTTCTTTACTGTTACTTTAGCTTGAGCTATGGAGTTAAAGCTTCCCTCTGTGCTGTTCCTCAGCAACAAGCCATGCATCATGTCTCCTCATTCTCCAGTCCGTTCGCTAAGTTTTGTGGTCAGTATTCACCCACTTACTCTCTGCAGTTCTACCTATTGTGTACATAGTGACTGATTGAAAAAAAAAAAGGGGGGAAAAAAAAGAAGTGAAGATATTTATACATTTATTTATACATTTTATACAAAGAAGAGACCAAATATGAAAGTAAGGCAAAACGACACCAAGCACTGAGAAAAGCAATGGATATGAACTACAAAATTAATTAATCGGCAAAAAGAGTTAAGAAACTATCAGGATCATGATGTAAGTTTTTTGGGTTATTTTACCATTAGAACACATTTATTTATGCCAGTTTATAACACAGAAAGTGACGTTTATACACAGTAGAAGTTTATGTTTCGTTCTCTTCAAAGTAGCTTAAACACAGTCTGTTCCTTTTTTTTCCTCTTCTAAAGGCACACTGAAGCCTGAGCTTCGAAGTGCTCTATCAGCAGCTCCGCTTCTAGCTGAAGCCATTCTCAGAACACCTGATTCCACACATTTTCTCCACTCTACCCTCCACAACTTTAGCACAAAGCCATGACCTCCCTCGTCACCAGACACTGAGGTTGTAACTCTCTTTTCCCCAAAGCATCAGGAGTGTTCGAGAGAAAGTCAGTCCCGCTCCTCAGTACTAATCCCCCTGGTTTAGATGCCTGCAGAGGCTTTTACACCTAAACCCACGCTCAACTTTAAACCTTTCTTTCTTCTTCAACTGCTCCCTCCCATCTTGTCAAAGTTCCATAAAAAAAAACCCCAAAGCTCATAATTTAAGATGCCATTAAGAAAATGTCACAGCAGAAAACGTCAGTGGAACCACTGAACCAACGAGCCTCGCTCCATGCAATAGCACAAACTCCAGTTCTGTTTGTTCTCCCCTCCCCTCCCCTCCCTGTTGAACAATTGCCCCTTCTCAGAACTGCAAACGTTTGGTGGGAGTTGTTTAGTCAAAATCTGGAACTGGTCTTCTTAGCTCACAGCACTACCAGTTAATTTTTTTCAAACAACTGAAGGGAAAGATAAAAAACCTCATTATATTAAAAAATTAGAAAAAGATATAAAGTAGAGCCACAAGCCAAGATATGACAGGAATTTCAAAGATTCTGAAAAGAATACTCATTGTAATTTTTAAATTTCTTTTGTTGTTCTCATAATTAACACTATTTAAATTAAGCTCTTATTATTTATGTAAATCTTTACTTTTACCTAGCTAACACAGAAACTCAATCACAAAACAGATTCATTCATCATACATTCAAATATCTACACAAACATGTTAACATTAATTTTATATGCAGCTGATTCAACAGCTACCTTAGCTTAATATACTATGTATTTTATTAAGCAGTGATGTAAATTTCTGCACTTTATTTTTAAAGTCTGTCAAATGATTTAGCAATAGCCAAGTTAGTATGTGAGAAGGTTCTGTTTAAATTTGGGAGGTGCTTTGGAACTCTTCTTATTTGAAGAAATATATGTAAATACGATATATATTAATATATATACACACAAAGAGACTTATGAAAGTATATATGTAGTATATAGCTTTATAGAGCATTAATTTACAACTGTAAAAAAAATGGTACTTGTTGATGTTTCTGTATCTTTGCAGCCTTGCAATTGTGGCCGAGACAAAAGCCGTTTGCAGCTCTATGGAGAGCTTCAGTGCTAAAAGAGCAGAGTAGCCTTAAAATAGGCACAGTAACGGAAGCTATACTTCAAATTGTCCTTCCAAGATGAGTGGTAAACGCAGAGAAAGGCAAGTTACCAGCAGTTTTTAATGTCGCTTTAATCAACAGCTTCAAGAATTGGCAAAGGTAAACCTCGTTCATTTAACACAGGTTGTAAGAAAGATCTACACCACACCACCACTGCCATTCTTGCAATTCTGATAAAAAGGAGAGTTTCAAATGTCATCAGTGTTGCCATATTATTCTAACAAAAGTTACCTTAATTATTATTATGCCCCCAAACAAACAGAAACTTGTAGTAAGAAACTTGTATTATTTTAGGGTTTCTTCTATGGTAAGACTCCCTTCTACACAATTATTTTATACTTTAGGGTGATGCTGCAGCATTATGTTTTTTGAATCTGCAATTCCATTTTTCTTAACTATTATGGTATGAAAATGAGCTTAATTCTGTTGGGTTTGCAAGAATCTTTTTAAACATTAATTATTGGAATAAAAAGAAATAAACAAAAACGGAAACAAAAAATATCTAGCAATTCGTTTATGCCAAAGTGCAGCTAGAAACAAACTGGAATTTTGATCCTGCAAACTTTTTTACCTGTACTCAGTTTGAGACCACTCTAGTAGTCCTTTCAGTTTCAGTGGGATTTTATGAAAACATAGATAAGCACTGCCAGGAATGGGACTTTAATCTGGTGCATCTTAAATCCTACAGAATGGACATGAAATGATCAGATTAAAAAAAAAAATTAAAAAATAAAAGATGTTCCTCTTATTACTAATCCAGTTTTTTAACTTTTTATTTAATTGCGAGAATCTAAAGGTACTTCTGCAAATCAAAATACTACGTAGCTGTGCCTGAAATAACTTTAAACAAGATGAGAAGCAGCATACATAAGCGATGAGATGCATCACAGAACTGGTTTAAGTATCTTGAGCAGCTTACTCGGAGCCAGCGTGGATGCACCAATGCAGCACTGGATAGCGCAGAAGTATTTAATAGGAGACCTTAGAGTCTCTAACAGAGAGGGGGCACCTAAGGCAGTGACAAGCCCACCCAGAAAAACCACTCCCTTGCAAAATCCTTTCTATGAGCTTGTTTTCAGCACAGGGAATTTTTCACTACTGGAAGAACACTATTAAAAAAAACTCAATTCAGAAATACCTCCTCACCCCATCTCCCAAATCTTTCACAAAAGCCTTACACTTATGCAGTCTGATGCAGACGTGTTGGTTTAAAGTCCTACATATGTAAGATTTAATGGCTAAACAAACGTGTACACCACCACCACGGCACGTGTACTCAGTTCCACTCCATTTCAACAATCAAAGGTGGCAAGCGTGGGATTGTTTTTTGAAATTTATAATACTATCCAGTAGCAGCAGGTTCTGGACAACAACGTCTTTTGCAAAGACTACTGAACAGTCATAATTTAATGCTAACAAATTCAGTCAGAGCAGGAGGTCCTAAGCCACCAAATTCCATACATTTTGGTTTTTTACTGAAAAAGCAGTAAATGTTCCAATTGGATTTCGGCTAGCGGGGAAGGGTACTAATTAATGAATGTCAGAATAACTTTGAATATAAACCAGGAAATTACAGGTATTTTATTAAAAAAAAAAAAAGTGATGGCTTTAAATTTAGAATATAAATACAAACACATTAAGGGAAAAATTAAAAAAATTAAAATATATCTGATTTAAGAGAGATTTATTATATACCCGATTCTCAAAAAATTACAGATTACACTATGTCTGTAACAGGAAAAGAATTCCATCGTTAATAATAAACTATATATGAGAGTTACAGGAAGACTGAAGCACTGGGGGATAAGCATTCTAGTGTGTCTGACATGGGAGGAAAAAGAAAAAGGTCTCATGTATGACACATAAACCCTTATAATGTAGCTGATATCATAGGTGAAGCATCCCGGGCTACAGTTTTGCAGCAGCTAACGATGCTAGTGCAGTCATAGCCATTCTATCTTGCTTTATTTCTTAAATATTGAATAAACTGAAGTCTGCATTTAAGGCAAAGTAATTTTCAGAAAAAATTAAATGTTTGCAATACAATACGAACTCTTTTAGTCAAATAAATGTTAAAATAGATTGTTTTCAAAGGGTTGGTGTACTGAAGCTTTAACTAAAGAGGAAAACATCTGCACTTAGATAATCTAGAGCAATCACATATTTTCTCAGCTAATTACTAAAGAGGATAGTTATTAGGTACCATTATCATCTTTCATTTCAATAGGGGAAAAATACCTATACTAATACAAACCTGCCTACAAATATCTGTAAGTATGGACTCATCTTGTAAAATAAACAAGATAATTACCATTGAAGAATACAGACAGCAGAAATCAACATTCCCATAAAACAGATGACAGTTTAGAGTAGCTAAAATTACCCCCTTTAAAAGATATAAAATGAGTCCAATGATTTTCATACTGCTTAGGAAACTGAATGACAGCTCAGAAGATGTTTTCTCTAACATGGAATATCAAATGTTGTTTTTTACAGCAGTGCAGTTGTTTCCTTTTACTCATACAAATACTTTAAACAAATTAAAAAAATTCCATGGGTGAATTAAACTGCTTACCTTTGAGCCTCGCTCATTAAAAATAATTTCAACATCTAAGATTTTACCAAATTGCTGCAAAGAAATAGAAAAGTTACATGAAAATAAGATAACTTCAACACTTCTATCATATACAGTACAAATATTTGTTTCAGAAAATGGTGCAGCACATAAAAAATTTAAAGAATATAAAATCAAAAATGGTTAAGCACCAAAAAAGACACAGTGAAGAGGAGCCAGATCAATATTACAAATAAATCGTATGTATCATTACACTTGTCACTATCATTCCACAGTTGCATTTATGAACTTTAAGTTCCATGAAACCACCTGACAAAGAGGAAATCATCATTAAACTGTGATCACAGGGAAGTGAAAGTCCCAAAGATCTTTTTTTTATGATTTGTTTTGTGTTTGCACATTGTGATCCACCGAGTCCAGCTGCCAACACTGTTTTTTTTCACATGTAATATGCTACTGAATAGTTTGTTTGGAGTGTGATAAACATAACTAACAAGACAGGATAAACAGCTGCGTGAACACCGTCACCGTCTGGTCAACCTTCCCTCTAAAGAACCTTTGTCTCAGAAGACTTTTTGCAGCTGCTTTCCAGGACGGGTAAAGGAGTTTGGTTAATTGTGCTTTACAGGAATAAGATTAAACCAGCTGGGAGTTTTGTCACTGGCCACAAGAAGTGAGCATTTCTCTCCACCCTTGCTGAATATGGATAAACATTAGTCCCTAAAGCAATTCTTGTCTTACCAGAGTATAATTTTGAAAACCAGAATGGATACCCACTTGCTGGGGATTTTTCCCTGCTCAGAATTGTACTTTTATTATAATATTAGTAGCAACTGTTATTACTATTGACCTTATAATAGCACTCATCATCATCTAGGCATTGTTCACACACACAAAATTTGACCACAGTTGCTATCCCAAAGAAAAAGGTTATATTGGACTTGCCTCAGTAAGAGAATAAATGTTTGACTTGCGCAGCATTTAGTTAGAACACTTTCTGATATCACACATTTTGTGATGTGACACTGTAATGTATTAGTGGATCGTTTCTGTTATTTCATATCTGATCAACATTTAGTATGAATTAGTGTTAACACTGATAAATGACACAATATATTAAACAAAAGGGCAGAAATTAGAGGAAGGCAAATGAAGAGTAATCTAACAATAGTCCAAGGAATTTCAGAAATGAGCCTATACTTCAGTATTTTAATATATAATAAACAATTGCAGGCCAGAAAGGACAGTATTCCTTCTCTAGCTTATTAAAGTGTTTCAACTTGGTACTGAAAATCAACCATCATTTGTTATCCCTTGGCTTATTTTATCTTATTGCATTCACCATTTAGGTAATATTTTAGCTGCAACTTTAGCCCATAAGCAGACACTGACTTAATGTTTAAGCAATCCTCCTCTGCTGTGCGTCCATGGAAAAAGGTCAGCTGCTATGTGTATAATGTGGTCATGATGCAGCGTTACCATATTTCACATCAGATATTTCAACTCACACTTGCGGAAATTTCATTTTTCCTATCAATTCAGAAGGCTAAAAGTCTACTGTTACCAAGTCATTCTATAGCTGGAAAACTCTAGCAATTCTCCAGCATTAGTGTTTTGAGACCTAAAACTTAGAAATAGTGAAAAGAAACATAGTTTTTATTCACTTATAAAATACTACATTCCCTCAAAAAAAGAGACCCTTTCATTTAATGTACTTTCAAATAAAATCCATCTATTTAAAATGGTTTGTTTAATTTAAATAAATTTGCATATTTTTCCCTAGAGGGTTAATTATTATTGCTTCTGCTATTCTGCTGATGTGCTGTAAGCTGCATTTAGGGGAGGTTACTTGTAGCAAGTCAGATACAGCAAAACAGTCACTCTCATTTCCCAATACTGTACCAGGATTCTTTTCCCACCGACTGTTTCCTTCACTTCACACACATAAATACTGAAAACCACAATGTCTTAACTCACATACAAAGATATTAGAAGAACTTAAGAATCTGAACTGAACATGAAAGACGGAGAGAAGTATAGTGCCATGAAGTACTTGATGCTGCACTGTATAACAAACTGTAATGCAGAAGAGAATTTAGTTTTAGCAAGTCAGAAAAAAGAAAGCAAAAGGAAGTGTACCAATTTGAAAAAGGAAAAGCTGGGTTCCAATAGCTGGTCAAGTACTATTTCTAGATTTTATTTAGTGACACTTCAAAATAAACCTAAGAGTTCTTGGAGCAGAGAGAAGAAGCCAGGTCTAACCTCTCATGGTTATGAGCCTAGAATTGATGGCACGTATGAGACGTGTGAAATGCAGCCAATGCACAGGAAGGTAGCTAGTGGCCTGGGCAAAAGCTAAAATTCAGAGCCTTAAAGAAAAATACTGGCCAAGTCTTCAGAAGCTTACAGACCTACAATACCTGTGGGGTCAGGTGAGGATTCCTACTCCAGGACTTCCTGCGTAAATTCAGCCCATGCCTTACTTCTACAGATTTGGGTCCCTTGCTCATGAGGTCAAGCATTGACTATTTTACACGATGCTTTCCAAAAAAAATCAATAAATACAGGCATATAAATCCAGATGTGTACAGCAGATACACATATGCGTTCAATATTTTAAGGCAGTGTTTTTTTGAATATAACACGAACAGGCACAACACATAGGATACACTCATCTGTACCACATACAGGAGATTCAGCAGAATTTCATTTCCCAATTGTGGCTGGCTGATCAGATGTTTGGTTATAAACAAATGAAGAGAATCTTGACTGAAAATGGTTAAACAGTCTAAATCAGAGATATTGCTCTCACGGCTGCCTAAATATAAAATAGCTATTTCAATGCGAATATAAAAAAAGCATAAATAGAGTATGAGTACTTACACCAAACATTTGCCTAAGATCTGGATCCCGGAATCTGAATGGTATATTTGAGACGTGAAGCCGTTTTGGCTGTGATTTGTTTTCTGTGTTTTCAGAAGATTGTGTCTGTTGCTGGCCATCAGTCTGTGCTGCATCATCTGTCTGCTAAAAGGGTAAAGCAAAAGAAATTAAAGCACACTGTAAGTGTTTCTGCCATTTTTAATATAAAGTGGTGTCTTTAAATTCAGGAAAAAAAAAACCAAAACAACAAACCACCAGGAAAGAAAAAAGCCTGAAAAGGAGTTAAATCCACTGAAACGTACTGAAGAATACCAGAAGTTGAAATACATGAAAATCAAATCCGTTTTTGTATCTGTCTCAACTGTCTATGTTTATAAGTGATATTTTTAATACATATTTTGAATAAACTGGAAAATAGGACGGAGATTATTTTCTGTTGATTTTCTTAGCTATTTTTAAATAATGAATAAATATGTCTCCCTACGCTATAAAATAGTTGAAACCCCTTTAACCTCATCAGTGTTTGCCAATAGGAAAAACTGAATCTCCATGTCCAAATAACAGCCTACTTACAGAAGCAAGCTATACACTTCCAAATAAGATTAGTACTTTCATTCAGAGGCCACTGGGACTTCTACACAGGAGGTAGGTAACACATCACATCCTAGTTGCCATTTCATAAGCAGTGCTAATGGGCACTAGAGGGTCATTTTGTCTAGATAAATGGTCACCATTATAGAAAAGGCCTTGAGTTGTAAAAGGGAACAGAAGTATAATCAGTGGTGAAGGTTGCCTGACATAAAAGTGAGGCGCGGAAACAAAGTTTTACAGATTTTCTTTCTCGCCTAAATAAGAAGTACTATGACATGATCTTACAGGGATAACGTTCCCCAGTTTTGAAATGCTATTTTACAATTGAAGGACATTGCTGTGTATTACAATTCAACAAACAAACTTAATTATACACCCCTACAGAGAACAGGAAAAACCAATGTTCTTCATCCAAAAATGAAAACTAACCAATGGTCTATCAATAGCTGATAGAAACTTCTGGGCTGTGTTAATTAATGATATCATACAGTGCCTAATTAATCACCCTGTGTACAGCACACATTCACTGGAAGAAAATTTTGCATGGCTATGTAAAAACAGCATAGTTATTTTCTTTTGCACTGGTAGAAGGGATTTGGAAAAAAAGGCGAGGAAAGAAAAGAGTTGAATGAAGCTACAAGGATTATGTATTTTCTCGGTCCTTCCTCTTTCTTCTCAGCATATTCATCTTCCAAGTATTCATTTTTTTCTCTTACATTCTAATGTTACAGTTCAGCTTGTCTTTCTGACTTTTTTCATTAAAAAAGAGTCCCATTTCCTGCTACTATCAAATTTCTTTTAAGAGACAACAGTTTTAAGCAAAATCAAAATGGTTAAATAAAATAAACCTTACCACGCAGTTTTAGTACCAATAAGCCTGTTAAGGAGGAAGCAAAAGAACTCAAACAGAATAAATAATTTACATTAGCAATAACTACATATAAATTTGATTCTAGCAAGTTAAATGCAACATCATCTTCCCCAGTAAATGCAAATGTTCTCAAAGTACAAACATTACAATTTCCTGTATTGCCTATATTTCTGTGCTAAGAACACTTTACAAATAAAGATCCTTATCATTCCTGCAGAAGCATCAGCAGCGTATATATTTCATTGGCTAGAATGAAAATCATACACAAATACAAACTTTTGTGTGCACTGGAGAAGGATTTTCAAGTGATCCAAACAAGGAACTTGGAACAGCTCGAGCGTAAACCTAAAACTGAGTCAGTGCCACCACTTGTCTTCACCTGCTATCCCCTGAACTTACAGGCAGGGCCCCACAAATGAAATAGTTCATCTTTACAATTTTCTAGTCATTTAAATACTAAACACGGTATACAGCTGTTATGAGTCAAAAACATGTCCCATGCTAATCTCTTGCTATCTAAAACCAACTCAAAATTCAAAATTTAGATTTTAGACGACTGTTCCATCCATAAACACCACAGAGATTACTTTCTACCTTCAGGCTTTAAAAGGACAGAAATACGAAGGAAATTTGGTATATGAGAGCAGGTGGAGGATGAGGGACTGGAAACTCGTGAAATACAACACTCCAGAAGAATTTAAGGTCAATTGGATTAATCTGAAGAGAATTAAAAAATTCTGAAGGTGCTGTTCAGCTTCAGGAACAAAGGGTGCCCCAGGAAGAAATTATATAATCAGCATACTGTATCAATGCAAATTGGAAAAAGTAATTTCTGTTCATTGTATTAATATAAATGCTGAGAAACAAGGAGTAGGAGGGTTGAACTGTGCACTATTAGCATACCAAAACATTAGGAGCAACTTCCGTATGAAGAAGCTGAACAGACACATTGCCAACAAAAAGCCATTGAGGTTTCTGAAGATGATGCTAAAATGAAGGAGCTACAAATTATGGGGGAAGTAGGTAAATCCAGGTACTGTTATTTCCTGGGTATTTCTTTTTTATTTTACCACTTTTGTTCACAAAAGCATGAAATTTACAGTTTCAGAAAAGAATACCTCAGAGTTTGGGCAGTAAGGACTGAAAACCAGAAGCCAGCAAGTCACTGTCATGAAAGATTCATACCTGTAAATGCCTTTAAAGAAGTGTGTGGCAGAATTAACAGAGCTAACAATTCAAAATGTATGAAAAGCTTGACAATATAACAGTGTCTTTACAAAGCATATAATGATTCAGAAATCTATGGATCAGCCTAGGAGATCTGGAGAAGGATAACTGCAAATTGAAATTGGAACATGAAGCTTATACAAAAATTTCCATGTAACACCAAGGAGGTAAAATACACTTAGGACAGGGGACAGGCTGGATTTAGTGAAATCCCAGAAAGGAAAGTTTCAAAGCCCTGTGGACTCAAAGAGCTGGAATACAATTTACCTTACATATAAATAATACATTTCAAGAGAATATTTTCATTGCTAGAGGATCTAAAGACCAGTGCTTGATATTTCCTTAAAAATCAATTGAAGTCGGTATATGACATTAGCCTCGCTACATCCCCGCAGTCCAGTATGCAATCAGTACAAGTCCTGATCTCTTATGGGTTTGGTCTCTTTCAATAGCCTCCCCTGACTCAATCAAGTAAATTAGTATGCTTTATGCAAAACATAAATAAAGAACCCCCCACAAGCCTTGCCATTAAACAGAGATTACATAAAAGGGAGTATAGACTGTGTGTTTTTTCACGACCTCATTTTTTGAGTACAAAGCAGTATCAGAGTTATCTTCACATATCAAAAGGTCATGAATTTAACTTTGTGAAGAGATCACAATTCATAAAGCAACTATTCAACAAATTTTACCATTGGAATTATCTGCTATCTGGTGGTATTTGCTTTTCCGTGTGTGTATTGGGGTTTTTCCCTATAGAAGATGGCAACATAAATTCATATACAACTACTAATCCATTATAATCTTGTTTATGGAACTGCTCTCTAACCAGTGATTTTCCATGCCGTATTTGTGCGGTGTTATTGCTGTGTGAACACCTTGCATTTGATGTTTTTGAACAGCATCTTATTTTTCCAGATGATACCTACAATTTATCAAGATTATTTTGAATTCTAATCCTGTCCTGCAACGTACTTGCAGTTCTTCCCAGCTTGGTATTGTTGCAAATTTAATAAGTATACACTCTATTCTATCATTCAGATCATTAATGAAAATACTGAAAAACACTGAGTCACCACAAATCCCTGTAGAACTCCCTTTAATAAATCTCTTCATTTTGATAGCGAGCTGCTTCTTAAACCGAGTTTTCAGTTTTGCACCCAGCCTACTGTAGTTGCATGTTTACCATATTTCCCAGCTTGCTTAAAAGCACTTCTTGTGTTAAAGTGTCAAAGCCTTATGAAAAGCAAAATATAACATTGAAGGCTTTTCCTGGGTCCACAAAGCCACTGTAGAAGTAAAAGACTATCTTTTTGACAAATCCCTGCTGATGGCTATTCTCCTTGTACTTTCAGTGTGCATTTACCCGTTCCAGTATTTTCCCAGGCCCGAGACTCTGATGATAGCACATCCCTTTAGCCTATACAACTAACATTTCTCTCTCCCTCCTCTTTAAAAACCAGCATTATGTCTACTCTACTCGAGTTCTCCAGTACCTCTACTCATTCTCCACAAGGTAACAGACACAGACACTAATCGCTTCACAATATTATCAGTTTAATCTTAAAGTACCTTGGAACGGAGCTAATTAGAAATGGTTAACTGAAAAAAACCCACCACACCTAATTTACCTCAATATTCTTTAATTGGTTTCTTCCCTCTGAGACCGACAACTTTTTCTGACAGTTGGGAAATTATTGCAATCATCACCCAGCTCAGGCTGAATTCTACAGCGAGGAATCATGCAAAGAAGAAAGGTTTTCTTACCCTTCTTCCCCAGACTGCATTTCATACTCACTCTCAAAGATTCCCTCTAGCCTGGCATATCAGTTTCTCCATCCTGGCTGGAATCCCCTCCAGAACCACCTCTCTCCTGGCTGCCTTTTGTACGCTCAGTTGCAGGACTTGTCCCCAGCACATTCCAATAGCAATCTCAATGGCCAGGCTGGCTGCAGGAAGCATCAAATCACCTGAAAACCCTATTGTTCATGACTTTAGTACTGTACCTTGGTTGCCTACTAAAGATCTGATCCACTGAATCTTACAAGCCGAATGGCTATGATAATTTTCAGAACAAAGAGGTCCTTTGTTCCTCTAATAGTTATGCAGAGGCCTTTAAGGGTCTCTCCCCTTCTACAGTCATGACCCTGGATAAGGCACCCCTTTAAATTACAAGGGAACAATTCCTTTACTGTCTGCTCTTCCAAATCAAGGTTTACAACTTTATTTTCAACAGCATATAGTTTCTCCGGGTATGAATTTTCAACACAATTTTGATTTTTTGTATTGCACTTTATGCCCTTCTATTATGACATAACTGGTGACAACAGCATCGCGTCAGTATGATGTGATACAGTGTGGTCACAAAGTACACAGCAGGCATGGACACAGTTGGTACAATGTTCATTACATGGCATCAGTAAATACCCCAAACCAAACCGCTTCCATATGCAAA